AGGAAAACAATTTACTTCCAGGTTCTGGAGGAAGCTCATGAGCTTACTGCAGGTGGAGGTCAATTTTTCGACTGCCCGGCACCCTGAAACCAACGGGCAGGCGGAAAGAGCAAACGGTGTCCTCCAGCAATACCTGAGGTGTTATGTCAATGACAGAGAGAATGACTGGGTAGAAAAGTTGGCGCTGGCGGAATTTGCCTACAACAATGCCGAGAATGTGTCCACAGGGATGAGCCCCTTCTTGGCTAATTATGGGTGTCATCCCAGGGCTTTCCCGGGGGAGATGGGGAGAGATGGAGCGTCCCGGCAGCCGAGCATTTTGTGGAAGAAATGGAAGCAATCCATCGTCAGCTCCAACTCAACTTAGAAAGGGCGAAGGAAGAATACAAGAGGCAGGCAGACAAGAACCGAAGGGAAGGTGAAACCATAAGGGTGGGAGATAGGGTGTGGCTGTCAACCCAAGGGCTGCCGCTCAAAGGAGGTTGTAAGAAATTAAGACCCAGGAGGTTGGGTCCCTTTGAGGTCATTCAACAGGTCAACCCAGTGGCTTTCAGGCTCCGGTTACCCAACCACATGAAACTGCACCCAGTATTTCACAGGTCGTTACTGTCACCGTACGAAGGGGGACGAGAAGGGATGGCCACTCGGGACCGGTCATAGAAGAAAGAGAATGCAGCAGCCATGTGGCAGAAATCCTCGACGCCAGGTGGAAGGGGGATCAGGTGGAGTATTTGGTAGCGTGGGAAGGAGAACCGGAGTCAGAAAACACTTGGGTAATGGCCGAAGATATCAATGACGAGGTATTGATAGAAACGTTCCATCAAAGGTTCCCAAGGAAACCTCAGCCTGTGGAGAGGTTCCGGAGGGAATACTTTGGGACCACTGATGAGGAGGAGGAGTTGGAAGGATTCCCGGACTCGGAAGGGGAAGGGGAGATGGACTCTGAGGAGGAGGAGTACTTCGAGACCAGGAACCGCAACAGGTGGAGAGAAGTGTTCGAGACATCGGAAGATGAAGGAAGTTCATTCCGGGTTTTGCCTCCTCACCGCCCGTAGAGGAGGGGGCGAGAGGGGTGAAAGGGGCCCTGGAGGGGGAGGTGGATGTCAGGGAACTGCCATCGGAAGGAAGGGAGGTGAAAGGGCTCACACAGGTTGGGAGAGACTCAGCAGCTGAAGAGGGAACCAGTAGGGGGAGAGGAGCTGAGCTGAGGGAAAGTGAGCTGGAGGGATGGCTCAGAGACACTTCCAGCGAAAACAGTGGGGAGGTTTCAGGACCTCCTGTAGGAACACCCACTCCTCGCCGGAAACTGTCACGCAGAGAGTCCAGAAGACGTGTTTCCGTTAAGGAGCTTTTATGTTGGAAGCGATTCCGAAAGCAACCACTGTCGGAATCTGCTAGTGACTAGAGGAGCCATGTCTGAGGGGCTCCGTCACAGACAGAGGTTTGTGGACTTGAACAAACTCTGAGGGGATACTATTTTACGCACAAGCAGCTCCTCATCCCATCACAGATCACTACCTAGGTCAGTGTAGAGGGAGGGAATGTTGCCCTTCTTATTAAGATTCCCATAGGATGCACCAAGCAAAGCCTCTCAAGAGACGTCATGCATATCTGTGAATTATGCTTTGGTAGGGCTTGGAAAGAGTTAAGGAGCAAAAGCTCTGTTCCATCAATAAAGTTAACACTCCTGCATTTCCCAATTTCACACACTAAATGAAAATAACTTATATTTTTGCACAATCAGAAATTACAGCATAGAGGCTACATCACATATACCCATTTGTTCCTCAGTGGCAAAAAATTTTAATTGTAGCCTTGAAACGCAGAAATGAAAGTTATAGAAATAGCGAAACCAATCATCTTGTGCAGAAAGCTGAGGGCATTTCTAAAGTTCAAGAAGCTTTTCAAAAAAGGTAAAATGAATGTAATCTTTAGAGGAAATGTCAATTTTATTCTGGGCAACTGCAGTCGAAACATAAGGGTTTTAGCTGGAATGGCAAAGGACTCTGCACGGAGAAAACTAAAAGGAGAAAATAGTAATACAGGAAAAAGGTTAACATCTTGACATTAAATTATGGTTTTACTAAAACTCACAGTATACTTATTTTTTTATAATCAGGTACCAGTGACTAGTGTGGCAGGTAATAAAACAATAAAAGGAAAAAAAGAGTACATTTATCTGTCAATCTTTTGGTTCGCTGGTACTCTGTAGGAAACCTAAATATACAGCCCTTTGAACTATGTTAAATGGCTGTCAGCCTGATACACAAAGTCCACTAAAGCTTGAAGTACTTTTATTTAAGCCAATGGGACTTGCATCACATTAAATCCAGATTCCAGGCCTAGCTAAGTTGTGGGTTGGGCTGCCTACAAAGGTAAAAAAGATGTGGCCCTTGCATTGTTTCAAAATAGATGTTCCCTTCCATATTCAGTGGCATTAAACATGTTCATTAATTTATTTTTGCTATGCTAACTCAGTACAGCCATAGGTGATGCTCAGTTACATGTTGCTTGAGTTTTTCTTTCTCTCTTAAACAATGAAGGCACAGAGGCAAAAAGGCAGAGTAAAAGATTTCTCAATCCTTTCAGCTTCTTTTCTAAAAATGCTTCCCCTCCCCAGCTGATTGTTGAGATTGCAATGCAAAGGGCTCTGCAAAAACAGGTCATCTGACCTCATTGTGACATCAGGTGGTTGACAGATAGATGCTCCCACCCTGTTGTCAAATTTGGTCTGGGGTGTGGGGGCAATCTCTGGCCTGTTGGTCAGATCCAGTTCTCTACACCAGGCTTAACCCTTTAGGACCCGTTATGATCCTCATAAAAATTGCTGCTCCTCAGCTGCTGTTTGGAAAGGAAGCCTCTGTTGGTGCCAGAGAACAGGAAAAGAGAATGGTTCACAGACACACATTCAAAAGTAAATTCAGTCACCCAGGAAACACCTCTTAGTTCTACCCTATATGCTAAAAATTGCTTTCATATTAATATGGTAACAGAAACAACAATTGTCATGGCATAGCATAGGAATTCCCCTTATTTCCCAAGCAGTGGATACCACTGCTAATATGTTAGAAATTACTTAGCAGCTGCTCTGTTTGAACTCACCAGGACCAAGTGTACTCGTTAATTTCCTCCATGATGACTTTATTTGGTTATTATTGCATAGAAGTCATTTTGACAATTGAACGGCATGGAAGTGGAAGAAGAAGAAGAAGAAGAAGAAGAAGAGGAATAGGAAGAGGAGGAGGAGGAGGAGGAGGAGGAGGAAACAGTAAACTATCTAGCAAGACTTGCCAGAAAGATCTTTCCAGTCAAAAGGAGAGTTCCCCCATCCATAGCTATCAACTTACAGATTTGAAAATAAGGGACCAGCAGCCAAAATAAGGGACCTGCAGCCTCACCTGTTCTAGGCACTCCAGTCTTCCTGTCCTCCTGCAGTCTGGTCAAACTCATGCTGGGTAGCTTCGAGAACACTGTCCAACCAGCTTTGTAACCAGAGGTTCAACTGAATAGAATCTGAATCACATGCACCACAAGGCCTATGCAACCTCAACTTAAGATGGCTCCCTGGCCTGGCTTTGCACTGCAAAGTTTGCAGCAGCACGTGCAACAAAATGGCGTCCAGCATTCAAAAAACCCCTCAGCTTGCATTAACTAGCCACACACAAGGCATGCAAGCTCCACCCCCCCAGTCGTTCTTAGACTTCTTATTGGGTGAGCAACAAAGCCAAGCAACACAGTTGGAGCCTCCTTCCTCCCTGGCTGGCAGGGAGGGAGGGAGAGGAGCTGCTTCCTTTGAAATTTAAGGGACATCATTTAAGGGACATTTAAGGGACATTCATCAATAAGGGACAGCAGCGGGACATGGCGCTGGAATAAGGGACTGTCCCTTCAAATAAGGGACACTTGACAGCTATGCCCCCATCAACTGGAGCAGCTAGTGAGGCAGGGTGGGGTGGCAGCTCTTACTATGTAATTGTGACTCACCACTAGAAAAAGTCACATTTCAGCTCCAGCCCTATACACCTTTACCTTGGGGAAAGCTGGAAGGAGGAATACGGTAGGATTTACTCACCCCCCCCAAAAAACCCCTATACATGACAGGATTGCATTGTTATGCATGTAAGGAAAACTTGACAATACAGGCAGCAGCTACTGATACGCAATTGCCGACATGTGGGTCCTTTTGACCTGGAAGCGAGCAGAATGGGGGTGGAACAGAATGGGTTGGAATGGGGCAGGGCACACTTATATGCTTACGCATGCGGGGGCAAGGAACAAAAACCCCACGCAAAATGGTCACTGCCTGCACAATGTCAAGAAGAGGTTCTATTATGTGGTGTGGCTTGATTTGCTTCCAGACACAGTGAAATACCCACTTTTGTCACTACTTCATATTTCAATCAAATAAACATGTATTAATTTTATAGAGTGTTGTTGTATCTCTGAACTTATCCTCGTTTCTCTTCATGTGCACCTGTCCTCCTTAACAGCCAACTGCCTACATGTTATATAGCTTCCCTTTATCTAATCCACCAACAAACTGATCCTGCTTACTAGGCCAATATCCCCCTTTGTTCTTTCAAAAGAGAAGGCAAAGTCCCTGCTTAATAGCACCGCTCATTCCCCTGCCCTCCACCATGTTGTTTTAAGTGGCCCATGGTGGATGGGTGGGTGGGTGTTCACAGTGTTTTGACTGCTGCCCGAACCAATTAATGTGGACTTCTGCTTGATAGCCTCAACTTCAGCAACCAGCTGAAAAGATTACAACTATTCTGTGGTAACTCTTCGTCATGTTTAGCTTACTGCTATTATAAAACTATTAAAGAAATAGTGTGTGGTAATTAACATTTAATTATTTACTCCTTTGTAGCAATCATTAGTATTTAGAAGTAGCTAACTATGCAGCACCGAGAAAAACCATGATCATTAATACTCTTCTAATTATTTCTTTGTTCAATAATGTACTCACTTATTACTGCTTCCGTAGATCTCTCATCAAATCATTGTCCTGTAGCTGGCCCCTCCTGCCTAAACTTTTCACCGTATTTAGGTCTGTACCTAAAAAAAGCCATTTATTACCATAAACAAAGGGGTAAGGAACCTTTTTCAGGCTGAGGGCCACACTTGATAACCTTCTGAGAGTCATATTCTACAGGCAAAAATGGACAAAGCAAGGGATGTAAATTTTACCATTGTACTGTAGCCTTATTTGTATGCATACTCTTCCCTGCCTTCCAACCATGGAAGTGAGAGGTATTATCAGTCCTTGTATTTGAGGTTCCACACCTTTGCCACAAAGTCTATGTCCAAATATAGTTGGTTATTTCTCCCATTGTCACTGGCACTAGGACATGTGGAGTCATATAAGATTCAAATGCCTTGCATATAGTTCAGCAGCATCTGGAAGGCTGCAAGCTTCCTGTCGCTAGCCTAGTAAACGATCTCCTCACCCAGTTTTCCCATTTAACTCATGAACTAGATGGTTTTAACCTACACCGAAGTGTTATTCATATTTCATCTGTCTTAAAGCTAATGTTACAACATGAAAGCAGAACACTTAGCAGTATTATAAGCTTGACTCTTTGCAAGCTAATTGCTTTGCGTGTCTCTGGGTAGATCTCAGTGACAAGCAAAGGGCAATCGCTCATGCCATTTGCATTTAGCATGGTGTTAGGAAGATGATGGCAAAATAGATTCAAGATCACACAGATGACAGCACATGGGGCCCTGGAAATGAGCCATCTGCATGAGGCAAAGTAGAGTGAGGAAGGACCTGCAGCCATATAACTGCATAGGAACACAGGAAGCGGCCTTATATCGAGTTCCATCTAGTTCAATATAGCCTAGCAGTGCTATTGACTGGCAACGGTTCTTCAAGATTTCACAGCCCTGCCTGGAGAAAGAAACAGTGGGGACTGGACCTAGGATCTTCTGCATGCAATGTTCAACCATTGAGCTGCAGACCATGCCTAAATGTCACAATCCATCTTTGTACAAAAGTGCATGATTGTTCAGGGTAACCTGGTGGAGGACTATAGGGCACTATTCTGCATGTAACTGACTGAAAGCAAGGGGGGGGAGAGGATTGTGCTTGCGTTTGTTTGTTTGTTTGTTTGTTTGTTTGTTTGCTTGCTTGCTTGCTTGCTTGCTTGTTTTTAAGAATCATTTGTAATGTAGATGTTCCAAGTCTAATGAAAATACTCTTTCATTCTTTCACTACTAGAAAGTATATTGATTTAATAAAAACCACAGGCATGTAACTTCAACATCATCATCTCTATTTACATTTAAAATTAGCTGACTATTTATTTTTAACATATGGTAAGCGCATCACACACACACAACACATGGACTGTAAGAAACAAAGGGCTTTGCAGACCCCTTTTGTCAGAGTTCTCTGTCTGTCTGTCTGTCTCTCCCCCTCCCTCCCTCTCTCTTTCTCCTGCTGCCCCTAAGTTAATTTCTTTTCAGCATACAATACCTCATTTCAAAGAAAAATTAACTTGGTCATGAGAAATAGATAATGATGAAAAATGCTAAGACAGAAGTTGAGATGGTCCCTTCAGCTCTCTGAATATAATGAACTATGAATGAGGTGTAAAATTAATTACTATTAATGGTAAGGCATGGTGTGAATCTTATCAGTAACCATTCAGCTCAGTTTTAGAGCACCTCAGCCTTTTACAAGACACGTTTTGCAAACAAGACTATTTGAAGCCTTTTTAGAAATGGTTGTATGTATGTATGAGTCAATGAGTGCTAACTATTCATTGGCATTTTATTGTATAAGTATAACATCAATTCAACCTGTTTTTTTAAAAAGTACTATCATCATGATGATATTGGTTTAACTCTACCAGTGCAGTGTAAAAAAAGAGAAAGGCTGTTGGGCTTATGGTGGGGAAGGACTGCAACTTAGCTGGAATTCTTTGCTCACATCTTGTCTCACTCTCTGAAGAAATTGTAATATTATGCTGGCAGAAAAGTTGGTATAACTTAAAATACTCCCATAGCATTCAATGGACAGCCCAAAATCATTGCCGTACCACTTCCACAGAATCCTAACATCCACCCTGACAACTGTGAAGGGGAAAAGATTCTGATTAAGCCAACAAACATAAACCCTGCTGGATCAGACCAGAAGTCTATCTATTCCTGCATCCGATTATCCACTGATTCTGCACAATCATGGGTAGAACGATGGAGTCAGATCTGGTTGGCTTCCTCACACAGTGTTGATCTCCAACATGACAGCAGGAACTGTTTTATGAACAGCTCTGAATTAGCTTTTGGACATCACACAGTCTGAAGGGAGGCACTTCTGCATCATTATGTTTTCTCCATGGGGACAGGACTCTTTGGCTTTTGTGTGGATGGAATATAAAAGAGTTGCATCCATTGTCACTAGCCCTGCCTACCACTGGCATGCGGCTCATGCAATTTCCTAAAACGGGATGTGTGGCCCTTTGGATGAAAAAGTCCCCATCTCCCCCCTGCCATACCCATTTACTAGGGACTAAGCTCCACTGAACTGGGTGAGACTTACCGGTACTTCTTAATAGATATGTATAGGATTGTGCTGTTAGTTGCTGTAGGGTTTGGTTTATGAAGGATGGCTGTAGCTTGGCTAAAGGTTTATATTAGTTTCAAAATAGTCCATTGGTTTCAATATTTCCACTTTCAACCTCAGTAAGCTATCATTCTAACCTAAAAGTTTGTGTTTCTGTGTGTTTATTTGAAGAAATGTGGTACATGGCTATATAAGCTAACCTATAACTGCAGGCTTCCTAATTATGTGATACTGAGCAGGACTGGACCTGTAAGGGTGTTGTCTCAAAATACTTTATTTTTCACAGAATTTTTGTCTTCATAAGCCTGTAACCTACTTGAGGTCTGATCACAGAACCTAAACATTAATACTGGTAATTTTGCCTGGTGAAACTGAATTTAGATCTAATTATAGATCAGGAAGCAGAGTCAGAATATTTATTTCCAGCTATTACTTTCTAATACTAAATTTACCTGCTTGCTAATGAGCTGATTTAGCAGTAATATGCAAATATTTCATTTCATGAATGTGGATGGGGACACATGAGACTGGGACATATTTTATGTACACAAACAAGCACTGTGTGGAATATGTATTTGGAAGCCTGTGTAATCTTGAACTTCGGGACCTACAGTAATGTTTCAAATAGGATTTTCCATATCATGGGTGTGGGCAGAGATCTCCAATGTCCAGTGTCATTCTGCTACTTTGTCAGATTTTAGAAACTTCTGGGGCAAATTAATTCCTGTACACAAAATATAGAGACTTTACTTCCAAACAAAAGCCTGTCCCATTTGTTTCTAAAATTAGGTGTTACAATTTGCTTAGCAACCACGGAATGCCATGCATCATATACCACCTGTGGTCGTACAGGTCTATACTGTTCAGTAGCCATTGGCCCTGCTAGCTGGGCATGATGAAAGTTAGGATTCCAGCTACTAGGCTGAGAACACCACACTGAAAGCACATGACTTCCCACAAAGAATTCTGAAAACTGTGTCTGGGAATTGTAGCTCTGTGAGGGGTAAAATGCAGTTCTGTGGATTCTTAGGAGAAGTAATGTGCTTTAAGCATGCAACATGGACAGATCCTAAGTCTGGAAGGCCCAACCCACTGTGCAATATTTTGTGACTTTGATATAAGATTTGGTATTTCAGTCCTGATAACTTCTTAAGTCATCAACATCCACTCCTTTGTCCTGTCCCTTAGGTATGAATATATACGTTTGTCAGTCTAATCTGAATGTTGGAACACCTCATTAAGCGGTTTCTTGATTAGGGTACTTAAGCAGTATGCCCATCTTACGTTAGTATCTGTATTGGTCTCTGCGTGTAATGATTTAATCAGGGTGCTTTTTCTAAACAATAACCCTAACAAGTAATACTGGTATCCTAAAATTCTGATAGCTGTTAGCTGATGTTAAGATCTATAACATTCACCACAATGGTTATCCATGTTAACTTTCTTGTTTGTGATTACACCATTTTCATTATGTTTAAGAGTCTTTCTACAGACACATAGCATATGGTATAGGCAGAGGAGATGAGCCTTTGATGTAGAGAACATTTTTTTAAAAAAACATGTTAAATTGCAATTACACTGTTGTGTTGGTAGCAGGTGATTGGGCCCCAAAGATAAGCGTATTCAACTGCATACAGTATTAACACTACTCGGTAAAATGAATTGGTAGAAAGGACACTGCAGTGGTCCCCCACCCCCATGATGTCATATTGCATAAGACATTTGAAATAAACTTTTCACATTATCTAGAGCATGGCAGACACGACACAGAATCACTTAGGCAAATCCTGGAGAGGTTTTTATTCACTGGGAGAACATTCTGCCCATATCCACCATCAGATTTGAAACTGCAGATGGTAAATCACATATTGCAATGAGCTTTGGCAAAGCTTTAGGAATTTCTTGCTGGCATCATCCATGCATCTCTCAGGAATGATAATTAAAAATTAAAAGTATCTGTCCAGAAATACCATAATGCTAGCATGTAACATAGACCGGTGCACTTGGAGAAATTCAGTGTGAAAAATCAGGCTACTGTGACTAAAAAAGAAAGCAAGCTAGTATACAAAACTAACAGTTGGAAGCTACATTTCCCTTGTATCCCTAGGCAACTATAAATTGTGGCAGAAAGTAATTTTACCTCTCTTCCTCATGTTGCCATCCATGGAGTCGGGAAAAGTAAGTTTGGATTAACCACTTTTTTGCTGTATCACAATCAAGTTCTTCTTCTTCTTCTTCTTCTTCTTCTTCTTCTTCTTCTTCTTCTTCTAGAAATTCAAAGCTTTGCTGAGCGTTTTGAATATTAACCCATGCCTTTTCACAAGTGTAGTAGTAACTATGGCTCCTGGACTACACTCAGGAGACACATTGGGTCACCCTTTCCATTGGTGGAAAAAGAGCTTTAAACCTCAGAAAGGGGTGCCCTGTGCCACACCAAAATTTGGCAACCCTGCCTCTCACACTCCATTTTAAATTATAGTTGTGGTGCCCCTGAGGCTCTGCGCCAAGATTCCTCTTTCCTGAAAATTTCTGTGGCCCTTGTCCTATCAGTGTTGTAGCACCAATGTTGGTGGGGCTGAAAAGGGGGGATTCCATGGGTGGGTTGGAAGTATGCCCAGGTAGACCAGAGGAAGGACTGGTTGTGAATAATTCAATGCCTTCCCAATCCCTTGACTTGCCCCCAAATCAGGGGTTAACTTATCCCAAGACCTGGAAATGGTGTAGCTTGGTCCTTTTTATTTCCAACAGGATAAAAATAGTTAAGGAAACAAACCTGGGGAAAGAGAGATTAGCGCAAGAATGCCCCTCCATTCTCACATGCAAGATCCTGGCACGACACTGGGTGAAGTTAACCTCCTCTCTTGATGTCAGTGTTCTTTGTAGATGGAAGGCAAAGCAAGGCCTCCTTGGACTGCAGTGGCAGTGAGAATTATACTGTGCTGAGAGAGCTGGACAGGGGAATGTCTTCTGGGGATCTCCCTCCACATGAGCAACTGCCCATGGAGCAATGGCTTCTGCTCACAGTAGTTTTAAAACTTGGACCCAGGTTTTTCAAACTTGATCATGATTAGAAATTCATTATATTTACAACTAGAAAAGATATAAACCCAACTCCAAAAAGCAGAGTTACCTTGGTTAATTTGTTTACTATATTTACTAGGGAATAAGGAGCAGTCAAATCTGAGTCACTGCTGTTTTTGTTATTTTTAAAAGTTGATAGAATGCAATAGCCACCAGGTCCCCTTGTAAGTGGTGAGTTGCATGGAAAAATTTACCTGCAGAGCACAATAATATAATTGAGGGGGATTGTGTGGGTGTTACAGATTACCTTTTCTCTCTCTCAATGTTTATATATTTGTATTTCCTTCTCTCTCTCTCAATGCTTACATATTTGCTTGTTATTGCTCTTTCTTTCTTTCTTTCTTTCTTTCTTTCACAAGACAACTTAGGGGACAGGAGTTCAAAATGTTGCACTTGTACTAAATATGCAATGAATAATTTAATGCACTTTGTCTCCAGTAGCAGCAAGAATAACACGAGGCTGCTCTTTTGAAGTACCTGCTAGCTGGTGGCTGGTTTCTGTGACCCTGACTTCCCCTCCGAGTACATTTGCTTGCAAATGATACTTGGCAAAAGGGAAAGCTGCAGAATCAAACCATCATGGAGTTAGCTCACTCTCCTCAAGGTGGAATTTAACTATGGAATATGCCATTCCATAGTTGGTGGAATGGGAGTCATGCTTGTGCATAAAGTTCCTTCTTTTAAGGCTAGCAGTGTTTGAATCCCCACTTCTGTTTTTTCAATACATGGATTCTAGTCAAGTGCCCTTCAGTATGAAGGTGTTCCATAGAGACCCATGCCACCACTAGATCAGCATGCTGAGCACATGCAAAGGAAGGAAGGACTTCCATATTATTAATAGTTGAACGGCAGGATTTTGAGCAGATGACCTACACTTTGGCATCAGTTTAAAACTGTGTTTCTAAAATTAGCAACCTCTCATCTTCTTGTTAAAGTGTAATTCATCGCCTCTGAGACAGCAGCTGAAGAGATGTCGTATAAGTCCGTCCCCCCCCCCCCCCCGTATCATTTCAGTGTTGGCAGACCATCAGGTCCAATGACTAGGTGCAATTTTAACTTTCTGAAGTGATCCAGAAAATAGAAGCAAGATAGTGTGCTTGGATAGGTGGTCAAGGAAGGAAATACAATGAGCTATAATATATTTCAGAGGTATCATTTACAACCATGTCTATTGTATTCAACAGATAAAAGTATCTCTCCTCCCAATGTTGCACCATCCCAAGAGAGACCTGACTCACTGCTGGTGGTACTGTAGCCTCTGATTTAGATGCCATGAGATTTAAGGGAAAAGTGTGTTCCTCATCAGCCTGGAAAGCAATGAGAAACGGGGTGCCACGGAATACTGTCCTGATGCTGTTGCTTGTAAACATCTTTATAAATGACTTGGATGGCCATGTATCAGGGATGCTGTAGTAGCAGGAGATCTTTGGGGTCTCTTCCAGCTCTCTGATTCTGTGATCCATGGCCTCTCATGTGGTATCAGGACTTTTCATCATACCTATGAGTATTTACAAAGGGGTCATGGTATATAACAAAAATAATCATATTTGTCAGGTGCATTGTGTGAGAATGTCAAGTTTCCCTACCTATCAAGATTTGTCACTGCATTCTCCTGTGATGTACCAATAGTAAAATTTGATGATATATGGATTTTTCAGGACACTGCCATAATTTGCATAATTTGCAATTTACCAGATTGTCCTACCTTAATGACAATGTCCTCTGGCTAAGAGATTAATAATAGCTAAACCTGACATTGCATTGTGGCAGTTCCCTCACTGCAAGAAGTGAAGTTATGAGGAACAAGGCAGAGGACCTTCTCGGTAGTGGCCATCAGATGTCAAAGAGATAAACAACTATACAGCTTTTAGAAGACATCTGAAGGCAGCCCTGTATGGGGAAGTTTTTAATGGTTGGTGTTTTATTATGCTTTTATATTTGTTGGAAGCCACCCAAAGTGTCTGGGGAAACCCTGTCAGAAGGGTGGAGTACAAATAATAAAATTATTATTATTAATTTTGGAGTTAGCTTGGGTGCAGTATAGAAGCTAAGAGTGTGAGCAATGAGACATAAGCCCTATGAAGTGCAATGAAAACACATGAAAGGCCACACTAAGTACAAGAGTATCTGCTTTGCACGGAGAAGATCCCAGGTTTTTTTAAAAACTATTTTTTATTGAATTTTTGAATTATAACAACAAATCTTCCACAAATCTTAATTGAACAATTTATATATCCATTTCTCCCCTCCCCCCTCCTTGGTTTCCTCCGTATTTCCATATTGATTTATTAAACAATTTTTATACCCTGCTGGTTTTACCTCTTATATAGTTGTGAAAGTTTAGTTAAAACCTGCCAATGGGTCCAAATCTTTATACTGTCTTTTTATGTAGTTTATAAATGGTTCCCACTCCTTTTTGAAATCAATGTTGTCTTTCTCGTGTATCCTGTCAGCTTAGCCAATTCTGCGTAGTCCATAAGCTTAACTTGCCATTCTTCCTTTGTTGGCGTTTTCTCTGTTTTCCATACTTGTGCTAATAAAATTCTTGCTGCTGTTGTCACATACATAAACAATCTCCAGTTTCCCTCTCCTATATCATGAGAAGATCCCAGGTTCAATCCCAAGCATTTCAGACCCCCTTCAGTGTAAACAATGCTGAACTAGATGGACCAATATATAGGAAGTTTCCTCTGTTCCATGTGAGCAATGGGTCTGGGGATGAGCATACAATACCAGCTTTGTGCTTCCTTCATCATGCTCCTTACCTTCAACTTGTGGAGGAGGGCGACTGTGTGAAGCAGAGTCTTCTGTATTCTTAGAGGCTCTGGGGAAGCTGTGATCCTCCAGATGTGGTTGGACTCTCAGTAGCCTCAGCCAGCATCATCAATGGGCAGGGATGAGGGGAGTTGCAGCCCAACATCTAGTGGGTGACAGGTTCCTCATCCTGCTTGTTGATTTCACCTGCATAGGCTAGAAATCTAAGCCTCAGCCACAAACTATTAGCAAACCACTGTTCTATTTTAGTAGCCTTTCACATGGATTTATGGGGATAATAACAACTTTCATAACTTGCAAGCTGTGCCATACTGAGTCAGACCAATTGTCCACCTAGCTCAGGGTGGTCTACCCTGACTGGCAATGGATGCCAGGATCTCAAAAAAGTTTCCCTCTGTCTTACCCAGAGATTGAATCTGCAGCTTTTTGCATGCAAAGCACGTGCTCCACTACTGAGCTATGGCCCTTCCCCATGTGTTGGGAGATGATATTATGCCAATCATAAAACACTGAAAGGTCATTTTTATAATCAAGAGCATGTGAATGGAGGGGATTTCCCAGTTGATATATTAAGAACACTCTCTTCAATCTTGAAATTGTTTGGCCTGGTTTATAAAGTCCCTACATCATGCTTACAAGAATATCTGATAACTCTGTGGCTTTTCTGAGTTTTAAGACAAAGTATAGACCCTATACTTTCAGCACTGAGATTCTCTTTGAACTTATTAAAGGCTTTACTCATGAAACAATGGCATTGGTTACTAATAAAGGACCACAGATTTATAGGATTTAGCCTTAATACATGAATAAAAGAATTTTCCCTGGTTGCTCAGCTGTAAAATACTCCATAGTTTTGAATTACACACAGCTGCATTGTGAACTCAAACTCTGAAGAGAGCTCGTAAGGGTATTTCTGAAATCAATGGCAACATGGCTGTCCACGCTGTATGTCAATATTGATTTGGTCTTCACATGGTTATCTTTCTGATTGACAGAATAATTGGTTCTTACCTATAAGGTATATGAAAGTACCATTTATGCCCGAACATGTGAAACTTCCCCTTTTCTTCTGCAGCAACCAATATACCCTCATCCTGGAATATATGCAGATTTCCGAGCGATAGATTCGATCTCCATAGAATAGTATGAATCACTGTAATAGATATACATTTTAAAAGTTTCTTTTTGAAATGCTGACCTGGATGTGGAAGCTCATGGCTAAGTACCTAATGGCTTAGCCACGGGTTTCCCAACCAAAAGTAAATCTGTCAAGAGTATAGGTTCCTTTTCTCCTGGCTGACTTGAATGTTTGGAGAGAAAAACCTGCCACTCTTTTTATTGCCTCTAACCCCTGTATGAAATCATCCATTGCTTTATAGTTCAGATCAATTCAAACAATTTAAGGCATGGGAAGGGGGAGGGCATTTGCAGAATTGGAGCTATTTACACCATTGTACTGTACTGCAAAGAGGGACGCGGGTGGTGCTGTGGGTTAAACCACAGAGCCTAGGGCTTGCTGATCGGAAGGTCGGCGGTTCGAATCTCCGCGATGGGGTGAGCTCCCGTTGCTCGTTCCCTGCTCCTGCCAACCTAGCAGTTCGAAAGCATGTCAAAGTGCAAGTAGATAAATAGGTACCGCTCCTGCGGGAAGGTAAACAGCCTTTCCGTGTGCTGCTCTGGTTTGCCAGAAGCGGCTTAGTCATGCTGGTCACATGACCTGGAAGCTGTACGCCGGCTCCCTCGGCCAATAAAGCGAGATGAGCGCCGCAACCCCAGAGTTGGCCACGACTGGACCTAATGGTCAGGGGTCCCTTTACCTTTACTTACTGTACTGCAAATTACAAGAAGAAGAAGAAGAGGAGTTTGGATTTGATATCCCGCCTTTCACTCCCTTTTAAGGAGTCTCAAAGCGGCTAACATTCTCCTTTCCCTTCCTCCCCCACAACAAACACTCTGTGAGGTGAGTGGGGCTGAGAGACTTCAGAGAAGTGTGACTGGCCAAAGGTCACCCAGCAGCTGCATGTGGAGGAGCGGAGACACGAACCCGGTTCCCCCGATTACGAGACTACCGTTCTTAACCACCACTACACCACACTGGCTCTCACAAATGAACAACTTATGTGTAAATTGGATAACATCCTTTGTACATGGCAACAAATATATTAAATTCAGCACTTTTTGTCAATCCTTGCAGCAAGCTACTAGGTTGCTGATGTTATTTGAATAATTTTTTAAAATCTACATTAATTTACAGACGAAGGTGTCTTATCTGGTCTGGACTGTATAAACTATTGCTGGCTGACTCTGCTGGTATACTTGTCAGGCATGGGAAATATATCGGTAAGGGGGAGGGAGGAAAAAATGGACAAAGCATAGGAGAAAGCTTCATTCTACCCAAAGATTTAAAGACAATTCATTTAAATTGATTCTTAGGTGGTATCTGACTTCTCATACTCTGAGTAGGATAGCTCAACAATACCTGCCAAAACTGTACATTTTAGCATATTTAAGGTGTTTTGGAAGGCAGCTATTTATGAGCACCAATTGATTATGGGGCAGCTGTTGATACCAGGTCCACGTACTGCAATGCTGTCCATTACTGATGATGGAGACAAAAAGATACTTTATAAGAGTTTGTTGGTATCTTTTTTTAAATTGCTGACTCTATGGTGGTATCCTAAAATTGGAAATTAGTAACAGCTAATTTAAAGGAGTGGCGGCATTCTCAAATCTGGGTGGTGACCCTTATGGAGAAACTTATACTTCGGTCAAGGAAATGGAAAAATCCAATTAATTTTTTAAAAAAAATATTATGTGAAATGGTTTTATTAATTATGTCCAGGCCAAAGAGCATGGTTGGATTTCTTAATCAACTCATGTTGCTTTATGGAGTGATATTATAGGCCGACAGTTAAAATAGTATTGATATGCTTGGCTCATTGATTACTTCTATAATGGTTCTCTGACTGCATCATTTGTGCTTATTTATTGGTGCGCTATGGATTGTGGGAGATTTTCTGTTGTCTACTTGTTTTGCTCTGACTTTTTATTGTTTCTTTGCCTGTTTTTCTTTGGTATGAAAAGTCTTAATAGGCTGTTCTTAAGTGTGTGGTGGGTGGGAATAAAGAATAGGTCCCATTGGGAAATACTGATGCATGCTCATAAAATGTCCTTTCAACTACGAATCTTACAGCTACAGATGGAAAGCATATCTGTAACAAGTATGCACTCTGCCCCAGCTTCTGCCAACCTAACAGTTCGAAAGCATACCAGTGCAAGTAGATAAATAGGTACTGCTGTGGCGGGAAGGTAAACACCATTTCCGTGCACTCTGGCACTCTTCATGGTGTCCCGTTGCACCAGAAGCGGTTTAGTCATGCTGGTCACATGACCTGGAAATCTGTCTGTGGACAAACGCCGGCCCCCTCAGCCTGAAGGGAGATGAGCGCCACAACCCCATAGTCACCTTTGACTGGACTTAACCGGCACAGCGCATTACCTGAAATTGACATAACGTTCAATAACATTTTCCATGGAATGTTCCATCGCATTGGGAGATAGGTATGTATAATATAATATGAAGTTTGGGGCCAGGCTACATCTTACTTGGGCACTATCTGTAATGCCCTTTAACATTTCTTTAAACAAAACACAGCCATGGAAGGCTGCAGTCAGGTGCAGTGGAGGGGTATGTGTATGTTTAACCCTTTATCCATTTGCTGTTTCTTTTAAAAAACAAACCCTCCCACAACACCTCCTTTTCCCTCTGCAGGTGAAAGGATGCAGAATCTGGCCTCTCCCCTGCCACCCATGAAGTGACTAGCACATTTTGAGAGCAAAAACAGCCAGCAGGGAAAGAACTACAAAGTCTTTCCCCTATCAGCTCCCTCTACATCCTTTGATTCTGAATGCAGTGGATGCTTATTATAAAAAGAAAAGTAGGGGGAAAGGATGTTATACAGCGCTTGGGCTGTTAAGAGGTGGAAGGACTTGGGTGAGGATGCATTCTCGACATTCCCCAGAGCTTACACATCTGTCTGGCTCTTTCTCTCTCTCTCTCTTCCTGATGAAAACATTGATAATCTTTCTCGCTATCCCTGTGCTTCTAGGACACAAAAGAGGCAGTGTGATATCTGTATTAAAATCTTGAAAATTGCAGCATCCTTATTATTACTGTCAGTGAAGACTGCCTGACAAAAGTCAGCTCTCAAAGGTATAGGGGACAGATGATCCAAGAAACTAGACACCACTAAAAAGCAGCATCCATACAAGGACTAAAAGATGTCCAGCTTGTAACTTGCCACTTATCTTCTTGCCTGGGGCAAGTAGCAATTCTCCCCAGGTGAGTACTTGAGTAGAAAACTATGCTATCCTTCAGAAGCTGAATTGTACTGAGCTGAGGAAGCACATGTGTAGGAGAAGCGAGGAGCAAGTTGGGATTGACATGCTAAAAAGATTTCTGTGTTGCTCATTGACACATGCTCCTTTGCTGGTCATGTACTGCAACTGGGCCACCAGAAAAAAATGTAGAACATTGAACCACAAGAGCAAAAACAAAAAGGAATCAAAGTGTGGGAGATCTTGCAGACATATGTTGCAGTTCTCCAGACAACTGAAATTTTGATTAACACAAATTACGGTAAGCTTCCTAACCCTGAAATAACTTCACAGCTTTGTTGCAGTGTCTATTTGATGGTATATACTCATTTGAAGTAACTAGCTGCTTCCTATAAAAGAAAGGAAGAACCAACTATCCATTCAGAATCTAAAATTATTACCACCAAGCCATTATCTAGAGCAGCAAGCCAAGGGCACATTGCCTAATCCTTCATAATATCTCCCATGCAGCCCATGGGTTGTCCACCTGTGCTCTACGGTACAGTCTTATTTCTCTGCAAAAATATAAATGCTGCAGAGCAATCCTCACAGAAGTGTGTGGCATAAGCATTTCTCCTGCTTTCTCTTCCCCTTGAACACAGAGTTGGCATTGTAATTATCTGACTATAGTGATTTCCTGTTTGGAGGTGGGGAAGAAGACTAGATTCAGGGTCCTCCTCCCCAAGACGGGTGATTACTGTTATTACATTTGACAGCACCAATCATAACCTTGTGCACAGGACCTGATCCAAAAAGCTAACATAGGTGTAACCTTCTCCTTTGCAAATACAGTAGTAGAGTTCTTACAGGTAAAAAAGAAAAGTATCAAAGTAAGTAGAAGAGAAGGAAAGACAGATTCCATCTCAAATATGATGCATGAAATATAAGTAATGGGAAGATTAAAAGTAAGCATCTGGAATATGCAAGGAATTAATTATCTGCTTAAAAAGAGACCAGAATATCTAATATAGTTCTTTTACAAGGAACAACTCCCTTGAAGCAGAGCATATAACAGGCTGAAATGTGGTTCTCTCCTTCCATATTTCCACCAGCTACAATTTTAATCACCAAGAAACTCAATTTCCATCTAGGTGAAATAAAAATTGGATAAGGCAAAAAGGTGTGCCATGCTGCGAGTGCTGACAGATTCACAAGCTTTCACTGTAAGTAATATCCTTCTTTAGCAAGCTATTCTCAGCACTGCACCATCAAATATAATACTAAAAACAACAAAGAACCTTAACGACCAAAACTAAAGCTGGCATAAGGTTTCAGGGCCGGAGGCCACTTCATCATTTGCATGGAGTGGTCAACGAAGTGGAAGAAATATATGTGAGAATATAAAGAGAAGTGTAAAAAAAAAAGTTTTTATTAAGAGAAGTCAAGAGGTCAGGCATGAAAGCAGTTCCTCTGGCACAGCACTATGCAGAACAGCAATTATTACACTACCAAATCAAATGAACACAACATTCCATCTCTGAAACTTGATGTCTCAACAAGGCCCTGGGAGTGACCAGTTCATTACAGAAAGCAGTGTTTGCTTAAGCTATTGATCAAGTGATAACTATTAGCCACTAGCGGCTGCTAATCAGAACTGGGTCACACCAGTGCCAATTGATTGCAGCTAAAGGATCACTTTGAGCCCTACATCTCCAGGGGGTCCAAGCCCTCAGCCATATTCCTGTTGCTCATCTACAAATTGCTGCTGCTGATTTATAAATTTGTCTCCTCTGTTTACCCCAAGACAACTGATAATGATGCTGTGAACTGCTGGAGCTGTCTCAGGATGACAAAGGGAAAAGCACAAAAATGTGAAGCTTCTACTTCACACGCTGCAACCCCAAAGTACAGAATAACTGCAGGAACAGCCTTTCTCTCTCTCTCTGCTTCCACAGCAGGCAGTCTCTCCATCAAGCGAGGATTGGAAGTCTTGAATTAAAGGACACAGATAAAGTACAAGCTACCATGGAAGGCAGGGTGGGTGGGCGGGCAACGAAGTTCACCTGACAGCAGAAACAAACAACGGTAGAGTCCCATTGAATTAAGAAAAAGACTCTTTGCTCTTGGAGTGGGCATTATATGCTCACTTGCTCCATACTGCAAACAGGGATGGGCACAAGGTAGATTTGAATTTAGTACTTCTAGATCTCTGAATGCACTGAAATAAGAGCTGCAAAAAGGTTTCTGATTCTCAGTAGTTGAGTAACAAATATGCTTGCAAGTCCCCTCCAAAAGGTTCTACAAATTGTACATGCAAACTAGAGACAAGATGTTTGCCTTGACTATATCTAGGCCACATTCCCAATTGGTAGTATAGGGTAGGAAATTTCAGAGCACAGAGCTGGTTCAGAATCTAAGCTGGAGCCCTCCTTCCAATGCACCAATACCAATACACTACTAAAATCACTGCACTCTCAGAACAAACACATTTTTCCACAGTATGCAACTAGTTTCTGTGATTCAGTGTCATGCTGGAGCAAAACAACATTTCTAAATGTAAACAAATTGTATATTAGATCTATTCATTGCCCTTCACCATGATGTCCTAGAGCAGGTTACAAGTAAAAAAGACAAATTTAAAACAGATAAAAATCACTACAACTTTAACACATATAAAACCATTCCAAAATACGACAGAACAATACAAATTCATCAAAGCAGATGGGTCACAAAACATTTAAATTCCTTAACTGCAAGAGGCCAGGGTAAAGAGGTTGGCTGATGACTACCAGGTAACTATCCAGAAGAAAGTAACCACACTGTCACAACCATCACATATTGGCATATTCCCAAGTTTATTTAAACTTGTGTACTGATGTCCATGCAGTACAAGATGGGCCATCCAAGTCCAATCTTGTCACCCTGACCCTGAACTATAATGAGTTAATATGCCTGTAGAAATAATTTTCACACAAGAAATTCTTGTAGGAGGAAGGCATCTGATTCTAAGCTCTCCTCTTTCCTTACTCCAACAAGAAAGAAGCTTTACCTACATAATGCTGTCAACCCCTGTATCTGTTCAGCAGAGAATTTTTTTTCATGTAGGAATGGGGATGTCATTTGTTCAGGGATCACTATATGTAGAGAGCTCTAGATGTGTGAAGATATCTAACCCAATATTTTCTTGAAGCTGGAGAGATGGGGTGGGAGAGGATGTGTGTGAAAGATAGAAGTTCTTGAATCATACACATGTTGCAACTTCTGAAAGTTTCTGTGAAGATTGAATGAAGCCTTAGTACACCTATTTTACTTATAATATTTTCTGCAAGCTACTGGATTCAGTAAGTGATAGCCAACAATAGTCATACTCAGGGAAAACTCACCAATATCACCCAGTACAGCTGCAGGAACAAAATACTTGCTTAGGGTAATTTTTCAAAACTGGAATGATGAAGGAATGTCATGTAAGCCTTACATTTGGACAATCAAGGGACATTTCTAGAGAAATTCATTCATTTGCATCCTGAAAGAAGCTCTGAGTAACGTACACATCCCATTTTAGCCTCAAAACAATCCTGTGAAGTAGGTTGTCACCAAAGTGTGCGACTGGGCCAATCTTATTGTAACAGAACCAGTTTTGTTGCTGATTCGGGGATTTGAATCCAGGTCTCCACAGCCCAATTCTTTAACCACACTGCCAGTCCATGAGGCATGCAAAGTGATTTCTAATAATAGGTGTCCATCTGAATTTATATTTTCCTTTTCAATCGTATGCCAAAGGGTTCACAAATACATATGAACGAAGGAGCACAATTTCCCATGTTTCACAACTTAAGAAAATGCATACAGATGATTGCTTAGTTCATGCCATTATGAAATGTATTT